GGGACAAATGCTGTGGAAAGTCAGGCCGCGCTCAGCACTGCCCAAGGGGAAGTGGATGCGTTTTCCTCGGGAAAAGGTTTTAAAATTACACAGCGGAGAAGGAAGGAGAGAAGGGAGAGAAATGAAGGAGATGAATTCTGTGCTAGTAGACAACTGAATTTCCTTTTCAGGCATGAAACATCACAGAAAACCATGGTGGGGGAATAGTCTGCATAGGCGTGGACATCCACGCCTCGAGCGCAAAACCCTGCCCCCGAGGCACATGGCTCCCCTCGGAGATGACAACCAAAAGCCGCAGAGCACCGGGTGGGCCCAGCATTTCTGAACAGGTGTGGCTGGCATGCACCTGCTTTTTTCGGACTTCTTTGGAAACCAGGACTACGAAAAAAGGGCAAAAGGCCCCGGACCCTTGTCCACAGAGCCGCGTCCACTTTCTGCTGGGACTGGAAGCAGCCTCAGGGAGGGCCACGGGTATGACGACTGTCCCCACCTTTTTAAAAGAGAAAAGAAAACCAGAAAGAAGTACCCACATGAAAAAATGAGCACAGCTCTCTCTCCATACAGGAAATGTAACCCTTTCTTCGACACCACCAGGATTACAGAGACCCCAGAGGTGACGGCAGAGCCCCCCCCCCCGACGTAATGGCAAAGCCGAGTCAGAAGGAGAGGGCACAGCTGCCTCAGGTCACTCTGAGGACGGGTCCACGCATGACGTTTCCCGGAGGAACGGAAGCGGAGGCGTACACTGAGGAATGAGTCTCAGGTTTACTTCTATACCTTCTACCACAGGTCATTCGTCTTTTTTCTGGAAAATATCACTTTAACTGAGGATTTCCCGTAATTATTAAATTATGTTTGCAGGCACAGCTTGAGCAAGATAAAAAAGTGATCTTCCCGAGTTATACAATCATCTAAATTCAAAAGCACTCACAAAATTGAGCAAAGAAAGCCAGTATTTGCATATTAGGGAAAGGAAGCATATTGCTAATGGCAGCCACAGGCCTGGTTAAAAATAAATGATTTATGTTAAATAGTAAAATAAAAGGAGGATTCTACCCCAAGACCACCACCACCTCCATGAAGACCCACGGTTACTGCAGCTGCAGGGGAAGGTTCAGGAAAGCCCCTCAGAATGAACAGTAGCCTGAAGAACAGAGGCGTCGGCACAAAGTTCGAGCCCCCCACTCGCCCGCAAACAGCCACCTGCTCTCCAGAGATGGTCCTTTCTCGCAAGGGAGAGATGCACTGGCAGGACGGCCCCCAACTCCAGGAAAGGGAGAGGCAGTGTGTGAGGCCGGCCTCGACTTTTACTTCCTGAGGGTGGGCAGGTAAGGCATACAGACAGAGCCCCGCCCTGAGGGCCGGGCACAGGGCCAGATGCAGCGCCAGCCACCAGCAGCGGCAGACAGACGGCTCACCGTGAAAACCAACCAAGCACACTCGGTCATCCTGAGGGCTCTCGAGGACACTCGGACAGACGTGGCCGTCGTCCTCCCCTGCTCTCTCCCAGGGCCCCGGACCAGACACTGCAGTCAGGTCCCAGCCGCCTGCTCCACAGTCACTGTGTGGTTTGTCACGATGCCTGTTGTGTCCCCAGAGGTCCTGATCTCCAGAAGCCGGAGCCTCTACGTGTGGTCCTCTCATAGCAGGCTCACAGTGCGGAGCCTGGGAGTGACAGAGCCAGCGGAGTCTGCAAGAAGGCTGCTCTTCAGTCCAGGTGGACAGTTCCCAGGAAGGGACGCTCCGTTTCTGGGAGTCTGTGGAGCAAACAACAGTGGTCCTGACAGAGAAATGAGACCCCAAGAGTCCCAGCACCCCCATTCCTATGCGCGGCCAACACACTGCAACATGGGACACGAGATGGAGCCTGGGGACACAGCACAGTCCTCCTCTGCAAGTGACCAGTGTGTGCACACGCCACACTCACATCACATCCACACTCACACACACGAAACTCACACACACCACAAACACACCACACACCGCACATGACACACACACTCACGCCCACACCACACACACCTGCACACTATACACACACGACACTCGCACTCACACACATCACACACACTCTCATGACACACAGGACACACATACACCACACACACACCACACACACACACATTCACCCCCAAACTGACTTGGTTTGACAGCAGCGACTCAGCGGCGGTAGCTGAGGCTGGCGGCCTTGGCTGGATGAGTCACAGACCAAAAGTTCCGTCTACTCTGAAGCTTCTGGAAAGCATTGAAGTTTCTTTTCTTCTCTCTCTTAAATTTTTTAATTTTCTTTTCCTGTATCAAGAATCACAGGTGTCACAATTCCCACAAAGGGCTCTCCCCTGGCCCCGGGGGCTCCTATGTGCGGGCACGACTCTCCCAGAGCTATGTAACCCACAGATTTACTCCTCACATGGCCTGTGGGAGGCCCCCCACTTCACTGCTGAAGGAACAGACGCAAATGGGGGACCGATGTCTTGTCATGGCCACATGACGTTCCGAGCGGCCACGCAGCGCCAGAACCTGGGCCTCTGGCTCTAGTCTGGCCCTCGACCACTTTATAACACTGCTGCGACTTCACACGGCCCCGAAAGGTCAAGTACCCCCTGGCCTGGCCCTCAGCCAAGCTGCCCTGAGGGCCCGGGCACACGTGGCAGTCGGGTTGCACACTGTACCTTCCCGCGATCGACCTCTTCGTCCCAGTCGTCGATCACGGTGGCCATGCGGGCCAACCTGCTGTCTTGAACAGCATCCTGGCTAACGGCAGACACCTCACCGTCCCACGTCAACACTACAACAACAGACATGCGTGTGGGCACCTCTGCGGGTTCCCAGCTACCCTCATTACTGAGAATGTCTGAGTGCCAACTTTTGGTGAAAATGGCCATGTAGAG